CCCAGCAGTTGCATCACCTTCCAGAGAGGTGGATGCTAGCGATGGAGGGTGCTGCTGGAATTTACACAGGCACAATGGCTGAACCGGGCTGTCAACATCACAGTTGCAAAAAGCACAGTGGGATCTTTAAAGACCACAAGTGGTCACGTCTGTGGTTTTACGTTGGATCCAAGCGGAAGCGTATATGACAACGTGCGGCCCCTTAGCTTACACGCTCCAGCCTTGCTCAGTAATGACTCAGAGGACAATACTCTTCCCTTCTGCAACGCCCAGGATTTTTCCCCGACTTTTCCCAGCTTCGGCTCTGCCTGGTGTGTGAGAGGCTGAAATCAGAACTTGCCGTGTTTTACAGGACTCTGTTATACTTCTGCAGGCTTTTCTGTGTGCTTCATCCAGCTGATGCTTTTTTTTGCAGTGTTGATGGAAGCAGCTTCATGGAACTACCGTAAGCTGCCTCTTAGTAATGACCTATTAGTGAAGCCAACAATAACAGCACTGTCTAGACCATCTGAACACAGCTAAATTATTCCTTTGTCCCTTCTTCATTTGCTTTCTCTCCTGACTGTTGAATTGTTTTGGGTGGTCTGTGTTGACCTTCAGGCTTGCTATTTCTCCCTAGCTTTTTTTTCTTTTTCTTCTTCAGCAGTGAGCCTGCTGTACTAAGACTGAAACTCCAAGTTCCTCTCTCATGCACGCAGGCTGGAACCAAAGCCGTGTAGCAGTGCTGGAAACGTGTATCTGAGGGGCAGAGAGATTTGTCATCTTGTAACTTTTGGATTTTACTTCATAGTTGATTTTGCTAAGTGCCGAATGCCCAAAATTCACATTGGTAGTGCCTGGGACCTGTGAGTCTTAACATGTTACAGAACTCAAAACTTGATGAGAGAAGGAGGTATTCTGTTCTTGATATAAGATCCTGCCAAAATGGATCAGTGTACTTTATTAAATGTCCGCTATAGCTCAACTCATCATTGCTTCCTGGGAGTGCTTATGACTTTTCTGTGTTCCTCTCCTTTATGTGACTGTGGATATTCCCCCCTGCCCCCAAACCTCTGGGAAATTGCTCTCTTTGAGACCTCTATTATATTTGGTTGGAAGTGGTCTGTGGTTGGATGGGCTGGTGATGTGATCAAATGAGCTTTGTCACAGGAAGAGGATTTTAAAAGGGCAAAAATGCAAAAAAGAGGGACTGTTTCCAAGGGCATGTAGTGATAGGATGAGGGGTAATGGCTTTGAGCTGAAGGAGGATAGTTTTAGATTAGATATAAGGAAGAAATTCTTCCCTGTGAGGGTGGTGAGGCACTGGCACAGGTTGCCCAGAGAGGGGCTGTGGCTGCCCCATCCCTGGCAGTGTTCAAGGCCAGGTTGGATGGGGCTTTGGGCAACCTGGTCTAGTGGAGGGTGTCCCTGCCCGTGGCAGGGAGGTTGGAACTAGATGGGCTTTAAGGTCCCTTCCAACCCAAATCCAACAATTCTATGATTCTAAAATTGGAGAAGAAAGAAATGAGTTTCCTATGAAGGGAAATAGCTGAAAATAAAGAGCTGAGGATGGAAGAGAAGACACAGGGGACAAAGGGACAGTGTCAAACACAATTGATTTTTATATTTCATTTTTGCTCTCTGTGTAATTGGCTTTTCTTTGTCCTGCTCTTCCATAGTAGAAATATTCCTGTTTATATGTCATGCTGAGGAGAGAGCAGGCTTTGTTATACAAATAATTCGTCCTGTCAGCCTACAATACCCAAAGTGAACTTGTACAAAACAGGCCAGAAGGTTGTTCAGGAGCAAGAGCCCGCTCATGTTGCACAAAGTCACTGGTTTCCATGAGTCTCTGAGTCCATCTGAGCTCTGCGGATACTTCATTGGTGTTGTGCAACTTGCAGCTGTTTTGCTCTGGAGCCATGGCAGAGCCTGGGAAGATGTTTGCTGTGTAGTCTCAGTACTGCCTTCTTACAAGGCTGAAGCATATTTGGGTCCTGCCAATGCTAGATCAGGAGAACTAGATCTTGCATGTCCCTTGGGCACGGGATTCCTGTTGATTCCCCAGCATTTTCTCCCAGGGTGAGCCATCCATCCTGCACCCCCTGCTCACGCAAACCGAGCCAAACAGAGAGCGAGCAGCCTGTGACGCCCCTTTCACTGGAGAGGCTTGGGAATGGCATTTGGGTTTAATTATCCAGTAAGCTTCAGCGCTTGTTTGAATTTTAACTGAACTGGCTGAGCTGGCTGCTTGTTTCCATGGAACAAGGTTCTCCACCCTTCTTTGGAGTCAGCTCGGAGACCCCAAGAGCAGTAATTAGGATGGGCAAGAGGCTTAGTCTGGAAAGCATCAGTTCCTGTGCAAAGCTGTCATGGAGAGGACTGGGAAGTGTCAGTTTTGCAACCAATGATGCAAATTCTGCTCCTGCACTGAAGTTCTTTCAGAGCATGGTGTAGGGTTTTTTTTTCACTTTGTTTTGAACAGTTGAGGCTTCAAGTCATAGTCCCTCTGAAATTGCAGTTCTTTTGGGCTAAAACCACACTGAAAAGTAGTTTAAAAGATACCTAAGCACATAGAAATACATTTCTTCAAGGAAATAACATATTTCTGATTGTGCTGCTTGTGTTCTTTCACACTCCAGCAACAGAAAACAACTTTTCCTGTTCGTATAGGAAGAAGTTTTCTTATCTTATTTTGTAGCAGTGATGGTTTGGATGTGTTGTTTTTTTTTTTTTTTTTGGCAAGTAACATTCATGTTTTATTATAAACATTCTCAAATGCTCTTCAGAATGTTCTTTGGCATTGGCTTTTCAAGTAGACGGAGGAACAAAGATGCTGAGTTGACAGCCTAAATGTTAGAAATATGTCTTTCCTTCCGTCTTTCCTTCTGTCTTTCCTTCCATCTCTTCTTGTGACAGGCAACGCTGACTCGTACATGTCCTGGAATATCCTCACAGGGCACCAGTGGGTTAACCAGAGGTTCATCTACTGGCAGGTGCTACCAGGCAGGTCCAGGGAGGTTTGGAGGTGGGAGGGCAGTGCTGAATTGGGTGGTTTTGCCAGCAAAAGCCCAGCTCTACCACTGCCCATTGAAGCTCCGTTTCCCCGTGACATTACGGACTGTGTTTTGTGTCAGTGAGTTCAGGAAACTTTTGTTGTCACTGGGGTTGGAAAAAAGAAAGGGGTGAGGGGCATTTTGGAGATTATAGCTTTGGTGGAAAATTCCTGGAGGGTGATGTGTGGGGTTTCTGGTTTTGTGTTTTGGTTTTTTTAACTTGTCCCTCCCCCCTTTCCCTTCCCCCTCCCAAAAAAAAAAAAAAAAAAAAAAAAGTTTTGTTTTTTCTTCTTTTTTGTGTTGGTTTTTTTCCTACTACAAAATCTGCCTGGAAAACTGCTTGTCCCCAAAGGTCCCTTTTAACAAAAAAAAACCCAAACAAAACACCAAAACCAAAACTATGGGAACATTCTAGTTCTTTTGGGTTTTTTTCCTGAACTAAAACTGAAAGTTATCTTTTTCTTGAATGTTTTCTTGTAGCATTTCAGGTTATGTTCCCTCCCACCCCTCCAGAAAAACATACCTGTGTTTTTAGTGGGTAGGGAAATGTGAAAGAGGAGAAGAATTGCAATTTAATGTACTTTGATATGAATGTTATTATTTTATTAATTTTATTTTTTATATATATACACACACACACATTGCCTACAGGAAAATGTAGGCATTTTCCTAATGTCTGATGACAAAGGCATTAGAGCTCATTTCTGAGTTCTAAAATAAAAATAACACTGGATTTTAAACATTTCCCCCCATTTTTCCCCTTATTTCTTTAATGAGATGTCTCTGGGTGCACAGCATGCATGAGAAGTCTTTTTTTCACACCTTTTATTTTTTTCACAGCTTCAGTCCTGATACAACCCAACAGGAAAAGCAGGAAAAGAGGAGGTGATGCTGTATCTGAGCATGAGGATCCAGGGCATATATCTCCTGGGGAAAGAACGTCAATATTTGGGTCCAGTTCCATCTGACTTCATATAGTTTTTATCATCTTTCACATCTTTGCAGACTGAGTTAAATCTGCAGGCTGCCTTGGAGCAGGGGTGGCTCTGTCCCTGGAGACGCTCTGTTTTACACGAAATGCAGTAGCTGTATTTGTATTTTTACAGTAATAGCTGCATGTGCCTAATACTTCCCTGTCTTCACTCTGTCATGAACATGGCAGCATGCAAAGGGTTTTCACACCCTCCGAATGTGTATGCGATGCCCAAGATCTTGAAAGGGCTTTCAGTGCTTGTGGTTGGTATTTTGCAATGAAATAGTTAATAGCTGCTTAAGGAGACCGTGATCACAGATGTAAAAGTGTTGAGAAGGAGGAGATTGGTTTCAGATCGAGTATGTTCCTCAAAAGTCTTTAGTTACTGCGGAAATCAGAAATACTGTATGACTTCTCGGAGCATGTGTCTCTTCTATCAAGGATAGTCGAGTCTCTTGCCTCTTGTAATGGTTTTGTTGCCCTCTCCCTTGGTTTCTCACTGGCTCTAGTTTTAAAAATCAGTTGTGGTTCTTGAGCATCTTTAATGAAGAGGGAGGAAAGGAGGAGATGAGGAACTGTGATGTACTCCATCACCTGCGTGAGCTTTGTGGGTCCTGAAAGGTTTCTGTCCTATAGAGCATCATCTTGCACCTCACAAACTGGATCCAGCCCCCTGGAAAGTACATCTGGCCTATGAGTCCCTCTCCAAAGAGCCCCATGGGCAGCAGATACGGGCTATGAGCTGTAGGAGCAGTGGCCACCCACACTCAGCCACTGGCTTTTCTGAGGATCTGTCTCGCATGTGATGAAGAATCCTGTATTTCCAAGACACAGTGTGGTCTTTGAATGCATCTCTTAACGGGAAGGCTGCACATCATGGCTTTCGACCCATTTGGGTTGAAAGATTGTATTTGCATTGCTGTATTTTTACTCTGCACTTCCAGGGGTGAGGTTGCCCTGCCACACCTCAGTTGTCTGTCTGTCTTTTGCAGATGAAGAAGAAGCTCTGAACTCTATTATGAAGGATTTGGCAGCGTTGGGCAAATGTGGGGGGCTGCTGGACAACAACAGGAATAAAAACATTGTCCACTCCAGCAAACAGGTAAGGCATTGCTTGAGTCCACCCCACGCTCTGGTAGACCAAATAGGTGCCATGGTGCTCACCATGCTGGGAGAACAGAGTTGGAGTCTTGGGGCTGAAGTTAATAAGTGCTGCAGTAGCTCAGCATGTCAGAAATAACAATTTTGTGGAGGAATAAGCTTTAAGACCTCTTTTTGAAGAGCTGAAAAGAAGCTACAGGCATCCTCATATCACAGAAGGGCAATGGAGGAGCAGAGGAGAAGAGTGATGCCCCAAATCATTCACAAATATAGCAACAGAGCCTGAAACTGATTTTAAATCTCAAATCCAAGGCACTTCTTTCTCTTGCTTAGCACTGAAAGTAGTAGAACTTGTTTCAGGCTATGCAGGTTTAAGATTTGGATTAGACAAATGTTTTCTATTGACAGCGTTGATGAAATACAATATTTATCATGTGCACATTTTACTTCAGATATTTGAAGGACAGACTGCCAATTTTGGGCTGTAGACACCCAGGCTCTTTTGGGAGTAATAATGTCATTCTTATATAAAGCATTTAAATATTAATTACTGGTGTTTATGCTCCTAAAACCAAACATTTTGGCCCTGTTGTGCATTCACAGTTGATGTAGTGAGCAAAAACATTGTCCCTTGAGCAATGTCAGAAATTATTCGCTGACATTGATACGATAGCTAAAGTGGATTTAATAGCCTGTTTGCGTATGGAACAAAATTTATCCAAACACAGAAGTTGTGAAGAAAGAATTCAGTTGTCAAAATAGCAGGAAAAAAAAAAAAGAAGGGGAAAAATAATTAAGAGGACAGGGAAGCTGCTGGAGGAGCATGGAAGCAGATCCTCTTGGAATTCTACTTCTAGTGCTATGGCTTAGTATAAACTTGCAATCAACTTTGTAATTGCTGAATGCCTAGCGAGGAACAAAATAAACTGTCATTTACTGTCATCATGCATATTTTAATGGCAGTTGTGCTACTAACGAAGAACTCTGGATGCAGAGGGGAAAAATCCTTTCCCAAATCCCTGTAGGCTTCCTAGACACATGCAGACAAAAACACGTGCGCACGTAGCAAGTGCGTTTTAAAGTGTGTCCTGGCGGTAGCAGCTGTCCAAGTTGAATCACTGGATTTGTGTTCAGCCCATGCTGAAATAAATCCAAGATGTTTACAAAACTGACTGGAGAAATTCAGAGCTGGCTCTCTGCAGCTGCAGGCAAAGCAGACAATCCAGCACAGCTTTGGATGGCTCCAAGGGTAGCGTTTTCTGTGAGTTGATGGGTGGGGACCATACCAAGCCATCTCAGGATGCTTTCAGGATAGCAAAGCTTTTTAGACTCCTCTTAAGTAACATACTTGTTTTCTCACAGAAAAAGAGATCCCTGCTGTCATTTTTGAGAACTGTTGTTACGAATGCTGCAGATAGGCAGTTAATCAAATATTTAGCTGAAAATAAGGAAAATAATAGTTTTTGTTGGCTGAATGCTTATCTACAAAAGTTTCATAAAATTGAAGTCTTGTAATCAAATTTGTATCCACAGCCCATCCATTCTGTATCTTCATTTATAAATCACCAATAGAGTTATGTTGTGCTCTGTTAGCTTGAGAATTGTTGGCTGCCTCTTGCATTTGATTTTATTATATTAGGAATCAAACTGTTCTTCCCAATTACAATACTGATGCTTGGAAAAACATTGCCTCCTTTTTTACGATTTCTCTTTTTAGCCCGAAGCAGAGCAGCTGTAGCAGTGTGCTCATAGTTACTCAGAGCTCTCTGATGGAGGAGGCGCAAATAGTCAGCATCCCGCTCTCCTCGCGCATCCGGGGCTGAGGATTCAGACCAACAGGCCCCACGAGATGAAGGGCGTTGGAGTATGTTGAATTGTTGCTTCACTCAATTGGACTTGCTGGAACAAGTCTGGCTCGCGGGACGACGGGAGTCTAGTCTGTGAGATGGGGAGTGGCCAAAATAGGTGGAATTAGGGACTTGGTTCATATTTGCAGCTCAGAAACTTTTAATCGACTTGTTTGGGTCACTTTTAGGGGTTTTTTTTCTTGTTTTTTAGCACAGAAATTGATGGGGGCGAAAAGATTGCTTTGGAAATGCTGTTGTCATGCCTGTGATTTGTTGTTCCTTTAGTACTTAGTGTTCCCTTCTATTTTTTCTTATTTTTTTATTTTATTTTTTTTCTGCGATCAGGTTGGCTGATTGGGCTGAAGGATGCACTGCACAGTCTCTCTTCTTGGAGGGGGAGGGCTGAGGCATGGGGCATTTAGATGCTAAATTTTTCACTCGGGAATCTTGTAGGTGCCTCTCAGGAGGCTCTGCAGCAACCTGCTCACATTGAAATACTTGGATCTGGATGTTCACTTGTTAGATTAAAAAAACCCCAACTTTCTTTTTTCCATGGAAAAATGCTTTTCTGAGGCATGGGAATCCTTTAGTCAGTGTTCCAAATTTCCACTGAAAAACACTTTAAACAAGAATGTGTTGACTAACTAGCCTGTCCCTTTGCGGCTTGCAGCAGTTTCTCGGTCCACAAAGAAACACAAGCAAAGTGCTAGCTCATCCCTGTCTCCTGGAGGGATTCCTTAGTGCTCTCTTGACAGAAATTGGAATTTGGAGCCTGCAAGATGGTATTCCTGGTAGGCCTGGGCTGCACGAGAAAGCAGTCTGTGGTGGTGTGTGCTGCACAGTATTTCTTCCCAAAAAATACTGACAGTTTTGCTTCGGATCATTTTATGAAATGAACTTATCCTTTGGCAAATTGTATGTTTAAAAAAAAAAAAAGTTGCTTGCCTTACAAATGAGTTTAGGACTAAGGCTGAATTTCTGGATGTCTACTGCCTCATGGTAGAACAAACTGGAAATGAGAACAGCAGTGCTCGATACACAGTGCAGATGAGTTTCCTTAGATGTGAAGCTGGCAGCAGATGTGATGGCTGAGCTGGAGTCTCCCGAGTCATGGTCAGGTATGTCAGCCGCTGCCTTTCTACCAGGGTAGAGGGATAGAGATGGACACCCTTTTCCTTCTGCATGCGAGTCACAATCTTTAAAAGTGAGCTGTTCTCTGGGGACAGAAGGATCATCCTGACATTACTCCTAGTGCATCATCTGCACTATTATTCCTCCATTATTCCTTTTATCGCTCCATTATTCCTCATGCATCCTCTGGCACGGCTGGAAGGAGTCCTTTCAGGCAGTCTCCTGGACGGAACAGACAAAGGAGTTTGTTTATAGCAGTGGCTCTGAAGAGGGGAAGGAGGAAACGGCAGAATAAAGATCTGCATTGTGATCGCTAAGGAAGAAGTTGAGTGGGGTAAGAAGGGAAACCACAAAGAATTAGAAATCCCAAACAAAAGCACAGAGGAGAAAGGAACAATTATATTAACATTTATTTTGCATCTGTGTCTGTGCACATCCATGTATATAAATAGTGCTTGGCAACTCACAGTACGAAGTTGGTTGTCAGTGCTGCGCTTTGGTTTAATGACAAGGCATTGGCGTGGGCCTCTATCACAGCCGATGACAGCTAGTAATTCCTCTGCCGTGTTAATTTTGATTGCAAGTTCTCCCACGGCAATAAAGCTCAGTATTTGTGAGGAACGTTTTCCCATGCACAACAAATGTCAGACTGACCTAAAAGTTGTTGTTTTAAGTAAACTACCTCTTGACTCTCTTTTGGCAAGTTGGATGCAGGACAAGGCTTGCTCATAACTAGAATAAAATACAACTAATGTTCTAGGGTGATCTGTTTGTAGGTCTTCAAGCAGCCTAAAAGGAATTTGGCTTTCTCACCTCTGTTTTACCGTTGAGGAATATGATGGGGGTCCATAAATATCACCTTGAAGATAGGAGTGTCTCTGAGGAGATCTGCAGGGATTGCCCCAGCTGGGGAATGGAAGCAAGGGGCCAGAGGAAGGAACAGCACCGTCTGGGAAAGCTGTGGCTGGAGATGGCAAAGGCAGTGGAGTCCTAAAGATTTGGCGAAGAGGCTTTCCCTTGTCTGTGTGTGGAGCTGACTTGGGTGCTAAGAGGGTAATGCCAAGGAGAAATCCAGGTGGAAAAAAGCTATTCCCTGCCAGGTAGGTAGTTTTGGATAAACATTTTGAAGCTTGTGATTTCTGCTGCTGTATAAACCAAAAATACCTCTAACAGGGAGGAGTGAACCCTCTGGACATCATCTTGCCACTGGCCTCTGAGCTGCTCATGTGCTGGGGGCTTGCTTTTTCAGAGGAAAAGAGCTGTAAGGATCCAGAGGGACCAGGATGTCTTGTAGCTTCCACCCTCTGAGAGGAGAAGGGGGCAATCCCAGACAAACCCTTTCTGTCTGCTGAATAACCCAAAGCGCGTGGGGGTTCTGTGCAGATAATTCCTAATGACGCGGATTAGTCATCTCCTATTGCGGTTTAGGGATGTGGTCCAGCTGTCTGGCTTGTAACGAACGTCCCGTTGCTAAAAGCAGGGGCGAGCACAGGATTAATGCAAACAACGTGCACGTCGGGGAGGTGCAGAAGTCCCCTCAGCCTGGCCCTGCAGTGCCGATTTCTCTTGGCTGAAGCCAGAAGTTGAGGTAAAATCCCACTGCTTTGTGACTTTGTACAAAGGAGTAACTAGAGCACTAAGGCTTGAACGCTGCACCCCTCAGCAGGGTTTTCTCATTGTTTCCTAATCCAAGTAGAAAATGAGAGAAGTGAAAATAATCCCATCTGCTTTACCCCCCAGCATGCAGAAGTCAGTCTCCTTTGTTGCCTCTATTTTACCTGGGGGGAAAGCTGAGGCAAAGTAAGTCCCCATGCTCTCCTGGGTGGGTAAGAGCAAAGCTGGAGTGAACCCCTCTTGGTGCAGCGCTGAGGGGATCACCCCTTGGGATGATTGTTCCTGCCTTTCTTGACCTCAGAAGGGTTAATACTGGAGTCAGAAGCTTTGTCCCGGGTGGTTTGTGAGGCAAGGATGGATTTGGGTGGAAGAAGTGATCCAAAGGCCCTGTCCCTGTGGTGTGTCAGCATGGGCAAAACTGTCCTCTGGTTAGGTTTGACAACAGCAGCTTTAAAAGCAAGCTACAGAGGTGGGCTCTGACCAGAATGCCGTTTCTGATGGCAGGTGAATTTGGGAGAAGAGGTGGTGATGAGGAGAGTCTTTGAACTTGGTGCTGGTCCGGGATTTTACAGCGTGGCAGTTTTAGGTGCTTCATCTCTCGGTGCCACACTAGCACATGGGCAGACATGGAGGTGTGGGGCTGTCTCCTTCACTGCATCCCTGCCTGCAGTCGGTGGCATCGAGGCAATGCAGCGAGGGTGTCCCTGTGCCATCAGACGCCCATCTCCACAGGCATGGCATTGCTCAGCTTGGACTTGTACCCCAGTCCAGTTGACCCTCTGGGTGTTCAGCAGTGAGGGTGCTCAGCACCTTCTGTTCCTCTGAAGCCACATCCATTTTAGGCCTAACAGCATGTTTTCCTGTTCTCTGTGTGTGCTTTTATTACAAACAGCAGTCAGCTCTTCAGGGATCTCTGTATAAGATCATGATTCACCTCGTTTGGAAACACTTTTTCCATTTTTTTTTTCCCAACGTTTTCCTTAATCTAAACCAGCGTGCAGGGCTGCTTGCTCCAGCTCCAGGGGCTGAGCTTGGCCGAGCCCGCTGGGGTACATGGTCCCCGGCCGAGCACCTCGTGGGCAGAAGCGGTTACCCCCTTCCCCCTCCCTCCCAATTCCCGTCAGCACTTCCTCTGAAGCTCAGCAGTTGTGGTCTTTTTCTCTTTGTGAAATTAGAAGTTTTGAGGAAGGAGCTAAAAATACCTCAAGGAAAGCCTGGAAAGATGGTGATGGGTTTGTGGCCACTGCAGTGGCTTTGCTTTTTCCTTTCTGAGGCAGATGGCAAGAAAGAGTAAAATACCGTTTGTTAGCAGGGCTGGAGGAAATGCCGGTACAAGTATCTCGGAGAAGAAATTATTCCAGAAACGAAGGGAATTACTGTGGTATTTCCTGTCAGGGTTGTCGCTTATTTTGTTTGTGTCACAGCAGGGCCTACAGGCGCCAGCCGAGAAGCTGGTTCCTCTGTGCCCTGTCGTACGGAAATGCACGTGGAGAGGGAAAGTCCCTCAGTACATACAATCCAGGAGATCAAACATCTAAATTTTGTGTTTGGCTCTGCCACTCTCTTTCGCAGAATGAATCACAGGCTAGTTTGGGTTGGAAGGAACCTTAAAGACCATCCAGTTCCAACCCCTGCCATGGGCAGGGACACCCTCCACTAGACCAGGTTGCCCAAAGCCCCATCCAGCCTGGCCTTGAACACTGCCAGGGAGGGGGCATCCACAGCTTCTTTGGGCAACCTCTTCCAGTGCCTCACCACCCTCATCATAAAAAAAAAAATATTTCTTTCTTATATCCAACCTAAATATAGCCTCTTGCAGTTTAAAACTGTTGTCCCTTGTCCTGTCACTACAGGACTTGGAAAAAGTGTCTATCTCATAAAGCCTCTTTTATATATTGGAAGGCTGCAATAAGGTCTCCTTGGAAACTTCCCCAGGCTGGGCTCTTTCTTCACACCGTTAGGAAAAGCACCTCATGCCTCAGTTTCCCCACTTGCTCTGTTATCTGCCTTGGCTTTCACAGTGCTCCATGAAACCGTCAATGAAATCCTCTGCCAGGGCTTGGTGTTGAAGGCTGGTGCCTTGCGGCATGGCCTTACCCCTCACCTCCACCATGTTTAACACACACCCTTCTTGGATGTTTCAGCTTGTTCTACACCAGCTAATGACCTCTTGATTGTGGGGAGAACAAAGCTGCCATTAACCTCATTTGACATCTGATGGCAGGGAGGGTAAATAGACTTGGATTGTGCAAGGAGGAGTCACTGTTGTCCTCATTCCTCACCTAATTGAAAAAGTGAGGAGGACCTGGTGGCCTCCACCACCCGCGCCTCTTCTGTGACCTGCCCTCAAGCATTTGCATGTTGTGTTGAGTTCCTTACGGAGAAGATGCTGTTCCTGCCTTCCCCTTGATTGCGCATTTGAGACACTGGGTGCAGGCTTGTGTGAGATTTTGTTCCAGCACTTGGCGGTGCCCCAGACTCCCTGTGTAATCTCAGACCAGTTGCTCCAAACCAGATTTCCATGGGTGTAAAAAATCACAGCCTGCTCTGGCATTTAGGAAGTGCTTTGTAGTCTTCTGGGATTTCCTAATGCTTTGGGCACAGCCCACTTTTTTTTTTTTTTTAAAGGAAGAAAGTATTTGTTGCTGATTAGCAGTGATGAATTCAGCTTTAGCTGTGGGTCAAAAACATAAGCAAGCCAAGGGAAGATTGCAAAATAAAATTGTAACCAACTTGTTAGACTATGTGTATATATATATATATTTCTCCCTCTTCCAAATGCTTACGAGTTTAAGGTCTTGGTTTCCTTGAAGGAGGCAAGAGGTAGCAGGTTTTATATCAGCAAAAAGAATAAATAATCATCTAATTAACAAATGAAGTGGGTTTTCATTCCCCTGTTGCAGCCGGTGTGCTTGTTGCTCTGCTCAGAAGCAGAGTGGAGCAGTGTGGGGCAGCTGGCTTCCTTCTCTTGGCTTTGGGCCATAGCACATCAGCCTTGTGGTTGATGTAGAAGAAAAGGATGCAGCAGGGTTGTGGCTCTTCCTTATTTTTTTTTTTCTCCCCCTCTTCTTTCTCCCCTCTTCTTCTCTCTCTGGAGCTTTATACAAGTGTTTTGACATTTTCCAGCCACAAGCTGTTTTTCAAAATTTGTTTGCCTGCGAAATCTGTGTTGCTCAGCATAAACAGGCAGCGCATGCTACGTCCCAGCTCAGCGTAGTGTTCAGGTCTGCGCTGAAAGTGAAACCTGTGTTTTGAAAGGTTTCCTGCAGCAAGGCCGGAGCTGTGTGAGCTTTTCCCTTTACACGTCCTGCTCCTTTGTAAGGAGAAACCTCAAAAGCTCCTTGCTCTGATTTTTTTTTTTTTTTTTTCTCTTTAGAGAAGGATTTTGCGGAGCTACATACAGTGAACCCATGCTGGCTGATTCACTGCCAACATCCAGGAGGGATGAACTAGCCAGGCCCTGTTTGGCGAGGCAGACACAATTAAAAATTGGCATAAAAGAGCCCATCTCTTTTTTTCTTTTCCACCAGAGATAATCCAAGGTGGCAATCCCACCTGCATTTGCACTCTCTAGAATGATTTGGACCTTCAACACTAGGTTGGTTATGGTCATCTCTTCTCCTTTTGAATTTTGGACTGTTTTAGAGTTTGTTATTTTTATGGGTTGGGCCTGGTTCTAGAAATGAACCTGGAGTTTGTCCAAGCGTTGCGGCTCTGGAGCAATGGCTGTAGACACCGAGGTGATGTAAGCGCCTGTTTAGCTCAGGCCTGTAATGCTGCTGGAGTGCCCCATTTGGTGACTATCCCGGCACTGGTTCTTCCCAGCCTTTCTTGAAACACAGAAAACACCACGAGCAGAGATAAAAAGGATGTGTTTTGGATGATCCATTGTGTTTACCGTGAATCTGCTGGGGTTTTTTTAAGCTTTTCAACTGAATCGCCTCCAGCCTTGACTTCCTGAACTTCGATGGGTGTTTGCAGAACTTGAGGAGCTGTCAGTTTAAAAATAAACCTAAGGATGCCAGTCCAGCTCATTTTCCTTATTAGAGTCAAAGCTGTTTCACTGTGGCTCTGCTTTCCCTCTGAGAGGATGGAAAGTGTGCCTTCACGCGCTGGCAATCCAGGGTTGGAGATAAGGCCCTTGCTCAGGAAGGGCTGTCACCCACCCGTTTGGGGATTATCCCTGTGAGATGCAGGCAGTGCGGGACCGAGCTCTCCTTAGTGTCACACCTCAGAGGGAGATGGTGAGCACTTTTTTTCTCCACGGGAAGAAAACCACTATTTGAGGACGCTTGTGTGCACTAGCTGGGGCAGAACCCCAGTTGACTGGGGTGACTAAACCTGGTCTGGGAAGTAAAGAGGGTTTTGATCTGCCTTGGAGACCATCGGAAAGTCCTGGCTTGAGCCAAGGGATGCTAGAGGGATGCTTGGCTCGGGCTCAGTCTGAGAACCTAAATGAATGAAAAGGCTCCTTGTGGTCTCGATTGCTGCTAAATATGCACAAATAGAGGATGGGAGAAGTGGCTTTTACTAGCTAGTCCCTGCACAGTTGTGTGCCCAGGCTGCCTGTGACTCTGCTGGCTCTTCTTTGGGCAAATTTAATAGTTTCTCTTCAGGTGAACAACAAGTTGGTTCAGGGTGGGCGTTTACTGCATACAGTGTAGTGATGCTTGATAGACTTTGCATTTTTTATGTCTTAAGAAAGTAACAGCCACCTCCCTCACCATCCCAGCACTCTTGGATTTTAAAATCCAAGACTGTCTCTCCACTTCCATTAGAGGATGCTTGCTTTTACTTCTTATTTCTTTGCCCCAAATATTCCTGTGTTCTATTAAACATCCTCTGAGCTTTGCTTTTTGGGTTTCCAACAGAAAAATACTGGGGTAAAGCCATGGGAAGTCCTGAAGATGGACAGACATCAGACACTTAACATGTTTGCCTTGTTCCCACTGTATTCAGAGCATTCAATTAAAACTAACAGTTACACAGATAAGTAAGTGTCCTCTTATTTACAGAAGACTTTATTTTTTAACAAGCACATTTATCAGCGATGTGGAGTTTCCCCAAAGTCGGTGAGGCCAGCAGGCAGCTTGGCTCTCAATAGACCAGATGCCCACTGGAGTCAGAGGAGTCTCTGTGAGATCTGCTGTCAGCTTTGGATCTGCCTGTCAATCTGGGATGCAGTTTGGGACCTAACCATTTTCTGCTTTTGCTTTCAGCAGCGAAACATCAGGATCAAGTTTGAATATGAAGGAGAGAAAAGGTATGTACCCAACCCAGTCCCCCCATTGTACAGGGACAAATTACCTTTTTTTACCCAGTGTTGTCCTACTGACTGCAACCAGCTGCAGATGAGGTCATAGCAGGATTTGTTCCCCTAAAAGCAACTACAGTATTTTAGGCAAGAGCCTCGCCTCGTCATCCCGTTTGCCACAAGCACCTCCTGGGATTTGCATGCAGGCAAAGTGGTTCCAAGCTGGAAGTCGTTAAATGCCTCTTACCAGTGACATAGGGTGCACGCTTGGATCCTTTTATTTTTT